GGCTCAAACATCTGCAATACAATCAAATCATTGGGGCGTAGCGGGCCATCATCCTCTCATCCAAAACGGTCCAAAACAGGAAATGGCAGCATAGTTATTCTCTTCTCTTTCTTGCTTATAGGTAACGTGTGGATATACTCTATTTACCAGCCCAACTACATCAAGAACGCGGGTCCGTACTGCGACAGGACGCTCTACCTGTTCGCCTTCTGGACCACCACCTTAGTCTACATCCTGCTGGGTCTGTTCCTGGTTAACGGCTTATGTGTCCTCCTCTGCTGTTGCCTGTGCTGCCAAGCCGCCAACGCAGACGACGACGTCTAGAGACAAAACAAACCAACGAGGGGACGGGATGCGTCTAATGAGGCTGTTGATTGGTTGATATAGTGCGACAAAAGACTAATATGTTTCATCTTAATGCCTACCATGTCTCCTAGTGGCACTTAGTTGCACTTCTAGTTGTTTCGACAGCCTCATTTAGAGACACACTTAACTCCAAGAAGCTGTAGATTAGTGCTGGGCAGTATGACCAAAAATGTGTATTACGGTATTTCTTAAGATTCTGTCGGTTTCACTGTATATCAAGGTATTTTTTTTTTCCTTGACTGGGTTTTTATACAGGTGTGGCTTACTCTACTGTCAGGAGTACATCGAATATAAAAACATTTTAATGTCATGTAGAAAGGCTTTGATTACTATAGGGTTTGTTCGTATAATGTTGGGATAGCAGTTTGGCTGAAGCATTTTCACAAAGCACAACAGGTAACCCGGAAAGAAGAATATTTCAAAAGTCAAGGCAATAGAATGACCGTATGCAAGAAATGCTCATATAGTCTATGATGCAAGCACATACCAGGGTAACATTAGAAGAAAATACATAAATGAATATAAATAAATAATCCTGGACCGATGGGAGTGTGTTAGCATCAGTAGTTGACTACATGCAGTTTAATATTAATTTATCCATGTACACAGCAAGAATCAACTTTTAGGTTTCAGCATTTTCATTAGCTGCTGCACATGCCTTTTGTGTGCTGCTAGTTAAGAGATAACAAAACAACACATAGAGTTGTTGGTAGATGTAATGAAAGTAAACATGGTAGAAATCATCTGTGTTTCATCAATTCATCAACAGGTGTGTTTCTTTTCAAATCATGTCCAATTAACTGAATTTAACACAGGTGGACTCTAATCAAGGTGTACAAACATCTCAAAGATGATGGGAGGCACCTGAGCTACATTTCAAATGTCTGAGCAGAGGTGATGTGATATTTCATTTTTATACTTTTAATAAATTTGCGAAATATTCTAAAATCCTGTTTTATACTTTTTTAAAAATTCTAAAAGCCCTTCTGGGAACGGGCATAGGAAATTAGGAAAACTGCTGTGAAACATTGCATTGGAAAATTGTTCTTCAACACTCTATGTACAGTATATGTATTTGTCCCTAAACTGCCAGCTGCAGCCACACAATCCCCACACTCACCTGCTCACCTGCTCCTCATTCCCATCACCCAGTATACGTCAGCACCAGAATCACATGTTTAGTTGATGTGCATCTTTTATCACAGAAATATTACAATTTACATACAAAATACAAAATATGATACTGAATAATGATGTCTGTTTACTCTTTAAAATAACTTTCACGACAGCATTGCATTATGTAAAAAATAAGGTTTGGATATTACTCATAATATTTTCACTCTTTTTATTAAGTTACATGTTTTCAGAGAGATAGTCAGGGATGTCCATCCAATTGGTGGGCTGGGCTGAAATGTCAGCACGGTTTGCGCAAGAGGTTGGCCAGTGCTTTGTTGTGGATGGGTTTATAGAGGAGAGAGAAGCTGGAGGGGCTGAGAAGGCCGTTGCCCTGTGGGTCGACTTTTCCCATCAACACGTAGTTACGGCCTGAACAAGAGAAAAAATGTGTCAGAATTTGTCAAATACCAGATCATGGATTAAATTAACGGACACTTATTGTTTGACTAAAATAATATACTCTTTCTGTAATAGTCATAATGTGTTACAGTAATTAATTCCAAAAGGAATCAAACAAAGTCACAATTGCATCCCAAATTAAATTTGTAATCAAACAGTTAACTATATTCTTTCATTTCTGCCTTTAATGACTAGGATATATTGGTTAAATAAAGAATCACATCGTCTGCATACAATGAGAGTTTGTGCTATGTTGTAGTTCATGAGCCAAAATGAAGCCAGAGGAAATAAATGTTAGACTTTATATATATTGCTATTGGATAGAGCACCATTTTCCTTTATTCTTACCTTTTTATTATACTAAAGATGATATTTGTTTGGTTTATTTTCAAGAATTAGTAATGCAATTGATTTCTGATCAACAATTAATGTTATTGGTAAGATAGTAAGATATTCATGTCAACTATCACTATTTCACAGTTGATGCCATGGGCACATTTCAGTCAGTACAAATGTTTGGTGTTTGTAATATCCAGAGAGAGACAAAGGCTGTAAATACAGTTGTACCTTTGATTAGACCGGGGCATCTCTTGCAGGTGGAGGTCAGTGTGACCGACATGATGGGCCCTGATTTGGTGATGTTCAGTCTTCCCGCCTTATAGGCCTTGATTAGGAACAGCTCAACTGTTGCTGAGCCCATCGGACCAGTGGTCAAAGATGTAACCTTACCCGTAATCACTGAAAGAGAGAGAAATATTAGAGAGAAAAAAACAAAACAGGGTTTGCATGGTATTTATTTTACAAATTATGCACCAATTATTGTTAAACTAAAAAATGTAGTCAAAATATTTAATTCATGTGTCAGGACCAGAGGTTAGCTGACGCGACTCACCAAAGTCATGAGGACAGAAGCTAGATTGGAGAGTTCCTGTCCTCTTACAGGCTTGTGTACATAGTGGGTTTAGAGGTAAAGCTAAAGAAAACGCACATGGCAAGGAACACGTGATTAGCACATTAAATTGCTGCTCGATGCAGGTGTGCACATATACATACATGAAAGCGAAGTGCAGATTGTTATCTTAAAAATCAATTACTTCCACTCACGTTTCTTGCTCACAAAAGGCTTCTTTGTGACCGTCTTGCTTACTCCAGGTTTAAGTGTTACTTTAGGCTTAATCTTCGGTTTGGCTGTTGGTTTAACTCTGCTCTTAGAGGTTGGCTTTACTCGTTTGATACCGGGTTTTAAGGTGGGTTTGGTCTTCAGTGCAGGCTTACGTGTGGGTTTAGCCTTGATGCTTGGCTTGATAATCTTAGGTTTGGGTGTAGGTTTAGCTCTCGGTTTAAATCCAGGTTTAAGTGTGGACTTTTTCACAGGTGCTTTGGGTGTGGGTTTAGCTGGTTTTGGTTTAGCCGAGGGCTTGACTGCAGGCTTGACGATAGGTTTGCGCGGTGGAGGTTTCAGCGGTATCTTCACCAGTGTTTTTTTGGCTGGTTTCGGGGTGGGTTTAGGGCCAGGCCTTGGTTTGGGGGTTGGATTGGTGGGTCTGCTTGGCCTCACGACTGTTCTTTCTGGCATCGAGGTCGTCTGAGGTCCATAGATGAAGTCCCCCCCAGCTGTGGGCGCCCGAGACCCTCGGGGGAAGCTGGAGTAGTGGGCCATGAAGCCATCTGAGGTCACGCTCAGGTCAGAGACGAACTGGACAAGAAGCTCGTTCCCATTTGTCACTATTATTCTATGTAAGGGACGGCGAAATTAGAGAGGAAAAACAAAAGGCGGAGGATTAGTAAAAGGGGAAACGTTGGCAGAGCTCAGCTGTAAGCCATGTCTTTGTAAAGGCCTCTTTCATCACCAATTTCTGATCAGTAATCTCACCCTGGGGACCTGTCTCCGCAGAATCTCCCAATCCGCCGTGAGTTATCCCTCTCTCCCCCGTTAAACAATGCCACATAGTCGTAGCGACAGTACGTGTCAGGCTCCAGGTCCAGCTTCATAAACTTCACCTCGATCACCTGGGGAAGAGGTGGAAGTAAACACATAAAACATGCCAGTACAAACTATGAAATTTATGACTGGGAATTAATTATGTGAGCTGGTATATTCTCGACTAGCTTTCATGAATCCAGCACAGTGCAGACATACAGTACAGTTGGTAGTGGTGGTCGTGGAGGAGAAGGGCCAGACTTCTGAAATACAGAGGAGCATTTACTCTCTCCCTCGCTCTCGCTTCCTTCCCTCTTTCCTTACTTTCAATCTCTTGGCACATGCGAGCACACCTTCAGGCACTCAATGAAGCCTTTCATTTGAACTTCGTCACAGGGACGCTGTCACACACTCGCAAACACACACGTACGCTACATCGGGGACCGGAAGTTTAACATTTCCTTGTGACGGGCCCCTTAACTACTATTTTCATTTCTCCTTCTCCTCCTGCAATAACTAGCCTTATGCAACACACCTAGCCCCTCACTTTTTGTGTAAGTCAATCTAAAATATAACGATAATATTGTTGATATTTTTCTACTACTCTAATGAGGATACAAATTTAAAAGGCATTTTTTACCCTTTTCCAACACAACGTTCACCATTTGCTATTAACCAAATTCAAGCCTTCTGTCCTTTTTACAACATACAACATTTAGGAGAACCCATCGTGCTCTTAAATAACTAATCAAAGCAGCAAATTAGTGATTTAAGACGTTTGCTCCTTAACAACATTCAGTATTTGCGAGGAACCGTCGTCGTTCTAAGTTTGTATTCCACTCGGAAAGTGGAGGCTAACTAGCCTAGCTACTGAGCCTAGCCTGCCAACATTAGCGCTGATTCTCGCTAGACATTACTACTCACCAAAATTTCACGCAACCTGAAGAACACTAACGTAAGGGTATCACTGCAGGAAAATTAATAACATTTAAATTTCTTTCTTTTCTAACTAAATAAACAAACTTAAATTCATTGGATTTATGTTAAAATTCTGAGGTGTCACTCTTTAAAAGGGGATGTTTTAAGTACACAACTAGTAAGAAATACAAAGTGCAATACGATTGGCTTACATTGCTCGGTTCTACGGAGATGTGCCAGGAGCAGCTGATGCCTGCTGGGTAATTAGAGTTGGGCCAGTTGGGCGTCTTCACAGAGCCCTGCGATTTAGTCAGACGTCCTCCACAGAACTGGTTCTCTGTGGGAATACAAAAGTAACCAGACTTTCACCTTTTTCAAATAAGGAAAGGATGTTTTTTTTGTCCTGTGATACTGTATTCAAGCATATATGCTGCAGGTGCATCTGTGAACTGTTTTTAGCTTGATGATTTTTTTTTGGAAGGGGGAGGGTATCCTGAATTTTTTCGTGATTTGTGTATTCCAGAGATGAGTATATTACTCTTTCTGAGCATAAACAAATCACTAGAATATAGTTTCACAGACAATATCAATTTGTGAGAACAGCAGCCGAGACGATCTACCACTAGAAAATCCCTCGATAAAACCGTGTAGCTTCATCTAGTGGTTCTTTGTGGACTGCATCTTTCTATGTTTCTGGGATTACTTGTCCCCACCTTCCACATGGGGCTTCCCTGCACTGAAGGAAGCGAGAAAGCCTCTTCCTCCAGTGGATTCGTCCGACACCATCTCTAACATCATGGTGTTGGAGGTGGCGATGAGGGCGCCGGGCCGGAACGTCCCACAGAAACGACCCAGCTTCTGCACCAAGCGGGTGTGACCATTGTAGACGTCCAGGTAGTCGTAACGACAGGTGGGGTCAGCCTCCATGTCGTAGAGGCGGAAAGACAGCATTACCACGTGACCCTCTGGGACCTGGAGGGAGGGGGGGGGCGACAGGTGATGCTTTGAGGAAAGACTGCTAGAAAAAAGCTTTTAGCAGTTTTAGCCTCAGGTGACCACAAATTATGGCAATAATTTTATGGGGTGTTATGGTGCAGCCAGGATATACATGAAGTCATGAGTTTAAAAAAGGCTGCTTCACTAGACCTTAATTCCCAACATGGATAGTTTTGTACGTGTGTTAAATAATTAGTTTAAAGTAAAATGCTTGCTGCCTGCCTGCCTGCCTGCTGTATTCGTTGGTTGTTTGTTAAGCTTTTATGCCTGACTTTATAACTACATCATTTAGAAAAGTTTTTTTTTAGGTCATATAGAACCCAATCTTTTTTTAGACCCTATATGTTCAACATTTTGAATGGAAGAAACCCTGAGAATATAAACTGGAGTTGAATACAACCCACAAATTACTCAAAAGTTGTTTAATCCCTGGAGGCATGAATGAAAAAATAGCACCATAAAGCAACACTAATTTCTGAAAGAAGAAAAGAGGACATTCTTTATTTTACAAACGAATAGTTGAACTCCTATGTTTGGCTTAACGGTGTAGGGGTTTTTAAAAGTGACTCACAGTGATGTACCAGGTGCATTTACTGTTGGGTTTGTAGGGACTGGGGAATCCTTCACTGGCCACGATGCCGGAGTCTGTGACCAGATGGCCTCCACAGTGGAAGATGGGCCTGAAAAGAGTATCACACAACCACCATCAACTACTTTTAACTTGATGTGCTCCACTGGAAGAAAACACACTTTACTAAGAGTATTGAGGCAGAACACACACACACACACACACTTTTACATACATGCTGAAAACCACAGTGGCACAGTCTGTCTCTGTTCTCTGACTCTGGGGAGGTTCCCAATGAACTCTCCTGATTTGTGTTTTTTTTTTCTTAAAAAGTTGTTCAAACCAAGCCAGGAAGACTTTCAATATGTTGTTTATGTAATGTGATCTTTCTCCACACACTGACTGCACCACAAGAAGGTTGTCGGTAGACGCAACAGGTATTTACTCTGAGCAGACATGGCACTTTCAACACAGCCCACTCACACATGAAATTTGGTGAAACACAGATCAAAGCAGGGCAAGCCTCAACTTTTAATTTAGCAGCAGACTCGTTCATTTAGATGTTGGCTGCTCTTTTCAGCTTGTCTCCTTTTTAAAATCAGCTGCGTTTGATCATCAAACTCCAGTTTTGTTGTTTTTTGTTTGTTTCTTGGGGAAAAAGAGGCCAAAATGAATCATCTTTATACATTGGGAAGATTGTCTCTGTGAACATCTATTGATTAATAGTCCCTTTTTCTTTTTTGTCTTAATCTTCAGGCATACGTTGTGTGTCTTTTATACTGTAATGCCACATTTGGCCAAAAACAAACAAACAGTGGCGTCCCTCCCTTCCGACCCTCTCTGGAGCTGGACAGCCCACAGGCATTTGTTTGTCTCTCATGTTCAATTTACACCCTGTATGTATTTGGGAGTAGCGATAGCAGTGCAAACAACGTGTTCAACAAGCATTTCCAAAAATGAAATTCAACATTTTCTGAGCCAAAACTGTGGATTTAGAGGCTGAAAGTCAGATTTGTTACTTTTGTCCAGTTAAATCACTGAATCGGTTACAGCATGCTGTAGTTTTGTGTGTTTACGGGACGGCAACCACGTCTTAACACTACAACCTTCTATTTCTATTGCACTTTTTTATAATCAACATACTGCAACCAAGAGAGAAAAAAATCCCACACAGTAGTTGATCTAGACCGATGTGGGCTTGAAAACGGCATGCCACATGTGCACAAAACGGATGCACAAGAGGGACATTGACAGCCATATATTTGGCACACATACCTGAAGACATTTAAAATATACCTAAAATCTCTCACTTACCTGGTGTAGTTACTCTCACTCTGAGCTTCGGTCCATCCCAGCGTCAGAATGACAAGAAGGCACACAGTCCACAGCCTGTCCTCCATCCTGCTGTCCTTCCGAGGTTAGGAAAAGACGGGAGAGGAGAAGAAGAGGAAGGAGGGAGAATCGGAGTGGAGGGCGTGGAGAGACGCAAGGTTTAAAAGGGGGGAGGAGGGAGAGGAGGGAAGTGGACATGATGGGTGAGGAGAAGGTGTGTTATGGAGGGAAGGAGAAGAAAGGAAAAGGCGAATGAATGTGATATTGAGAGGACAGAAGGCTGTTTGATACAGGTTAGCATTAATTACACTGACCCACGGCCAAAAGCAATGTATGTACAGTTGAAAGTACAGTGTGCTTATGTTCCAGCTCTGTGTTGTTGTTTAACAGGTAGGGTAATGGAATATATGGAAAATGTGTGCGTTTCTGCAGGTGTGTCTGGACAGAGTACCACTCCGTGTGTGTGTGTGTGTGTGTATGTATGTGTGTGTGTGTGATGACCTATTGAATGCACTAGCAGCAAGGCATCTGTGTTTGGCAATGTCGTTCTGCAGTAGGTTGGTTGGTCAGCCACTTTGGTCCAGACCGAAATATCCCAACTAACCACTGGATCTGTTGTCGCAAAAATGCGCACAGACATTCATGGTCCCCAGATAATGAATCCTACTGTCACGCAACCGTGATCCCCTGGGCCATATGACTCTGCTTCATAAATGTACATGGATGAGAGGAAGAAATATAGGGACTCGAGGGAAATTATGCCCAAATGGTCCAGCGGTCAAATTTCTGTGAGTGATGTGAGGGGAAAAATTGTCTGAACACACTTGGACTATGATGATCCACTTTTCTTCCCTTTAGTGCCTCTATGAAGTTAACATGAGTGTAAATGACATTCAAATCATTTTTGAAAAGTTTGCAATATCATGCTAGTGTAGTCTACCGTGTTTTTTCTTTCTCTCTGTGAACTATGCTTTGGAGCCTAATCTGTTCTTTGTCCCCATCATTGTACACATTTTCAGCTGTTGTTAATTCAACAAATCAAACTTTTTAAATCCTCTAATTGGCCTCAGTTGTGGTTCGTGTTTTGTGCCAATAAGCTCCTAATCATCAGCGGCTGCTTGTTAGGATTGAGCGCTGCCTCACAGAACTGCAAGCATGGCTGTAGACTCGTGTTTTTTGGGCACACACACACAATTTACACTGCAAGTGACGGTTACTATGTGGATTAAATTCCTTTCCAAGGATTCCACAGTGGTGGAAAGAAATTAGACGGTTAAATGTTAAGTTTAAATACAGGAAAGAATGAAACAGAACTCACACGAGAGTAAAGTAAATTATGGAAGACTAAAAGAGTTGGTTTTAATACTCATGTGACTTGAAATGAAAACTTTTATTAACGTCAGCACTCTCCCAAAATGACCCACATACATTACGATCAATGTCGTCAGTGTTATAATGATGGTGTGCATTGAAGTCAGCTTTGTGTTTGTCTGACCGAGGGCCTGCCTTTGTCTTTTTTAAGCTGTGCTGACCACTCCGGGTGGAAACCACAGCTGAATAGAAGGAGACTGTGGTTGGGTGAGGAAAGCAGCTGCCCTGATCAGCTCTCTGCTTCCAGTTCATTCCGGACACTTCTGAGTATCCAGGCCAACTGCAAAACAACCACTGATGAAAATAGACTGTAAAGAGATGTAATCATAAACTGCAGAGGGTGGAAAAAAAAGAAATCTGAATTCACATTTCAATGATTTATTTAGTCATTTTATTGTACAAAGAATTTCACAAAAATATTTAGAAACTGACACCACTGACGGCATAAAGCAAAGGATATCACACGACCAGAACAGTGCCACAGAGAGGAAGAGAGAGAGAGAGCACGAAAGGGACAGAGGGGAAGAAAGATAGTAAACAAACACTCTTCTTAGAGAGTTACTTCCTCTTTCAAATCCACTCGCCAACGTGAGCAAGCACTGGCAACACCGGAGCTTCCTTCGGTGCTGGCAGTTTGGGAAATACTGTCTGTGATGTCTGTGAGAGAATCATTGGTCATTTCTCCCTGTGGGGGAGACAAACCAATGCCCGGCCAAGGAAGAAACCTTTCAAGTCCACATTTAGTCTCCTGGCGATTGCCACGTTGCCCCACGATTAACTGTACATCTCTCAAGCAAAGCAACTAGATTGCTGGGTCCCGAGAAACTTTATTCTCCGTTTCAAAGACTGAAGTGCATGTTTTTATTTCTTCTTCTTCCCGTGCGGACACTATTTCGATCCTGGATTTTCACATTTTCCAGTAGAACCTCTTATGGGCATATATCCTCTCTATTTGAGGGGGATGACAGTATAAAAATATACACATTGTTTACAAAATAACCTGGTTTCCACTGTACATTTTGTCTATAAGGTGACAGTTGCGGCTTCTTCTTTAATTATTATTTTTACATAAGAGAAAAAAAATAATGTGACTGGGAGCAGGATCCCACACAACCTTGGAAACATTCAACAAGAAGAGTCACAGATAAACTCCCTTCTTTTCCTCACGAGCTCAACCCTAAACAGGAGGGAAAACGTGAGGGAGGACACTGTGGTGAAGCACATCCATCTTTACGTAAAGGCGCCTTCGTCGAAACACATTCACCTTAGTCCTCTCTGATTATCTTACAACTTCAGCAAATATGCTAAGAACTACAAGAACAAGGAAAGTGAAGTGCTTCCAAGGCATTCAGTGTACAGTCGTACAACACGCCTGCTGTGCGGTCGTCAAAGTCGGACTTTGTGAAGAATGAACCGGGCTAAGTGTCCAGGCTGACCTGTCCAACAACAAATGGAAGTTGTCTCGATCAATATCCATCTTTTTGCTCCCGGCAAATCCCACTTTAACCATGTTACACCTTGTGTAAAAATTGTTTTGGGCACAGGAAGTGCTGGAAGGTGAACATTTTCTGCCTATCGGCGTAGAAACGTCCGTGATAGTGTTCTTTATCTTTGGCCATCTGCTTAGTGAGTCATGTCTGACTTTTCTTTCACATCTTGCTGCTCCTCTGCGGCCATGTCTTGTGTTCATTTCTCTTCTTCTTTGTCCTCTAGGTGAGCTTCATCCATGGCTGTCTCTGGCAGAGTTGTCGTGCCCTCTCTGGCGCCCTCCTCCTGAGCTTTCAGCACACTGCACAGCTCCATCTCGTGGATCTCCACATCTGACGGAGCGGCGGGAGGCGGAGACTTGCAGCCCGTACAGCCCTGAACAAAACCAAAAACAAAACACATGATTTCCTTTCCCCGCTATGTGTTGTTACTTGATAATAAGTCATGCTCCGAACCGTTCAAAGCTCAGGGGTGAGTGTACTTACAGAGATGTTGATGGCTCGGGGCAGGCGTCCTGTGCGGATCCAGGGGTGCACCTGGCTCAGCTCCCTCTTCTGGTCCTCGGTGAAGCGTGGCTGCTGTTTCTGCATGCTCCTCAAGGCCTCGCGGTCCTCTCGCAGCACGGTCTCCATGTCTCTGTTGTGCGGCACAAAGGGGGGGAGAGTCACTGAAAAGTCTGACATTGAGTCTATAAAGTTCCAGCAAGTCTGAAACTGAACTAAACAGGCTGCAGTGTTGTGTGGTCACATTCTTGTCGTACCTGACGGGCAGCTGATAGGTCATCATAACCTTGTCGTCGGTGTTGGCCATCAGCAGCCAGATGGGGTCCTGCAGGACACACTTGATGAACTGCTCCTCAGCGCCATCTCCTCCGGCGCTACTGCTGCCCCCTGCTGGCTGTTTGCGGGAATGATCGTTCTCTGACGAGTCGATGCTGCCAAAGTACTTGCTGGTGTGGCTGCCCTGGCTGCTGCCTGAATGGACAAGGAAGTGAAAGTTGAGAATTAATTGGGAGTAAGACAACAGGGGAAAGTAACATAAGAGTAATTACGGCATTATGTTTCATTATGAAGGAAATGTTTTTGAAATATATAGATGTATTTCAAAGATATCTCTCCCGGAAAATTGCCTTCTGACGTCAATTATCTGGACTCTGTCAAAGAGGCAGTGGGACTCTTAGTGTGTCACTGAGTCACTACTTACTCATGCCGCTGGTGCCCGAGGAGCTGCAGCCGTTTGAGCCGGAGCCTGAACCAGAGGACCTCGTGCCTGACGACCCTGAACCAGAGGCGGCTGAGCCGGTGCCTGAGCGGGCGTCTTCCTGTAGCAACATATCCAGCAGGTCGCTGGAGGTGGACATGGCATCGTTGTTGGACTCATTAGCTTCACCCTAACGGGGGACAAAAAAAACATTTAAGATACATTTGAAATGCCATATTACTGGTTTTCAAAGCTTAACATCCTATCCTGAACGTCTGTGTACTTACGTTCTCGTTCTCCTTGGAGGTCTCATCAGAGATCCTCTGATTGGCTGAGCCCTGCACAGAAGGCGTGGATTGCTGTGTTGCTACCAGGGCCGTGGTGACCTCTAAGCGGTTGCTTGGTGCTTCCTCCAGCTGCAAAAGGTTGAGAGGTGAGGAGCATCTGGACTGGAAGAGGGGGGACCCGGCGTCAGCAGGCGTCTGGCTGTAGGACTGTGGGGTGCTGCTACGAGACGGGGCGCAGGTGGCCGGAATCGGTAAGGGGTTTGAAACGATAGCGGGGATAGCGCGTTGGGTGGCGGCGGGGTACGTGAAGTTAGGATTGAAGAAGGGGACGGGGCCTGGCTGAGAGATGGGCGCCGCCATCTGGGGGAACATGTAGTTGGGGAGAACGAGGGCCATCATGGGAGGTACCATCTGGGTGGGGGGGAAACGCGATGGATCTGGGACGGATAAGGGCTGGGCGAGCGGTGGGTAAACTGGGTAGATTGGAAGCATCCCAGGAGCAAAAGGGGCGGCGGGAATGCTGGCCTGAGAGACTACAGACGGCCAGGAGGACGAGTTTGTCGGGGGTCCGATGGGGATGTTGAGGGGCATGGGAGCTGTGCTGGTCCTGGGGTCGAACCCCAGAGAGCTGTGCTGGTCTGACGACTCCTGGTGCTTGAGTCTTTTACCGCCACGACCACGTCTTTGACTGGTGCTGCTTCCTGCGGCGGGGTAATCCCGAGAACAACGCACTCCTGGGGAAAGAGAAGGAGACACTGAATGTCTGCTATTTGAACAATCGACTGGTAACACGTATCAATATGTAACGTATATACATTGCAATGACAGTGGGTGCGTGTGCGCCTACCTCGTGACAGGGGGTTGGCGGCTGGGGTCTGACAGTGCAGAGTCGAAGATGTCGCCTGATCGAAAACACGCAGCTTGCTGAGGTCCTTAAAGTGGTCAAGGAATGTCTGCTCCTCCTGCTGGGTGTGGGCAGATAGCACCTCCTTTGTGAGATCCATGCAGCTCCCTCCTCCTCCTCCTCCCACACTTCCACTTCTCCGACTGTCCCTCTTTGCCTGAGCGGCTTTGGGGGGAGGGGAAAGTAGAGAAGGGAAGGTGATTGCCGCGTGAGCGAGAGGTGTTGCTGTGGGAGGCGTTGGTGTCGTTGTAGGAGCCTCCTCCATGATGATGTCTGTGGTAAAGGGAAAAGCAACGAGGTCTGTTAAAGCAGTGAAGTGAGACACTGTGAATGTTGAAAGAAGAAATGGCACGTTCTTCTTCTGACAAATGAAAAGTTAATCACAGAAAATGCACTCGAGCTAAATTCAACACAATCATGGATTTTGTTGCTACAGCCTCTCTTGGTCTATTAGGACCAGCTTATGATGGCTGATGTATTTAACACAAAAGTTACAGTTAAAAAGGACAAAAAGAAGACAGCGGACACTGGAGAACATTTTGGGGTAAAGTGAAAAAAGAAAACTGCAAATGAGGCGACACGCAGAAATCCAGAAGAGAAGATTTCCGGGATGAACCAAGATGAGAAATAAAAAAAGGCATAAATCAGATTACCTGCAGCTTTAACATGCAGCTACAGGGTTCTGCTAAATAATTCTTAAGACTTTAAAAGTAATAAAAACACTTTTTGGTCAGTTTATTTGCAAAGAAAGGAAGAAAGAATAAGAAAGCTGTATCAGAGTATGTTACTGTTCAACATAAAAACAAACCTCGATGGACATTAAAGGCTTTTAAATCAAACGTAAAGACATGCAACGACCTCGTGTCTCGTCATTTCGAGTGACAAACTTCAGCGTTCAGAGAGTGTGAGTGTTGAGGATTCCCACCTGACTCAGGAGGCTTCTTGTCTCCCACATGCACGATGGTGCTGCTGAAGCTACACTGCGACGTGACTGAGGCTACACTCTCTGCCTTTGTGGCCATGGTCAGGGGAGGCAGAGGAGGTGGTTCACTTACAAGGTTAACTGAACCACCTGCAGAGAAAACAAGCCCAACAAGGTTCTGTCAATGATTGCGCACCGTCCAGACAAAACAGATACATGAACAAAGCATGCGTATTGGCAATCTATTAAGTGGACATGACACAAATCAAGGATGCTGCACATCAAATAAATAAAGGAAAATCCATATTTAACAACAAGAATACGATTTTTCGATCAGTATTTTTGTTGGTAAATACACACTGACCAAAAACAAAAAAAAGGGAACTTAAATAAGTGGATTAGAGATATTTGTAAGGCTAACTTCCGAGAGACACCAAATGAATTGCCTACAAAAAAGAACCAAACCAGCTGACGTTAATGATCAAAACGTACCAGTGTTGTTGCTGGCCTCCTGCTGTTTGTGCTCGTCAGACGTGGAGGAGGCGGTGTAGGAGCCACACTTCCTTTTGACAGTGTTAGGAATGTTACAGCTGTCCAAGTACCTGCGTAGAGTCAGCGAATTGATGGATTAGTGACGGAATAACCACCAAAATGTTGAGGTGGAATAGCTTTAGGCTTGCGCACACACCTTATGATGCTGTCCAGACAGTTGATCTGCTGGTAGGAGTAGCCGGTAGGCGGCTCCTTCGGTATAAGCGGAGCCGGGACCAAAGCTTTGGTTGGTTTTGTCATCTCGGCGATCAAACTTCTGATTGGGTCGCTGTTGATTGCTTTGATGCTTGTTGTGCCTGGATGAAGGAAAGACAGGAACAGGAAGTTAACTAATTATTTTAGATGCTCGGTTCTCATCTCGCTCAGCGAAGTCTTTTAGATATTACTAGTTAAGAAAACAACTCTCTTTCTTTCCAGAGATGAATTTTACTTCTTTTACACTATATTATTTAACTGTCCTTTCATTTTACCTGTGCTTGTGTTGTTCCTGGGCAGGGGGCGGTTACGGGACTCGATGAAAACCTGCTGTCCACTAGTCTTGACCATGTGGACATCTTTACAGATCTGCTGGAAAGTCATCTGGAAAAATGACAGCATCACACTCGTTAAACAGATATGGCATGGCAGTGAATAACAATATCCTGATATATTGTATTTAGGTGGATCTCACAGGTTAACAGTAGACTTAAAAGCACTGGTTGCTCAGACTCACAGGTTTGTGTAGAGCGACCGCAACAGCAACTTTGTCCATGGCGGGGCCGGGGCTGTCGCTGGACGAGGCGCCTGAGGCCCCGAAGTGCTGCTGGTGTGAACGCCGAGAGCCTCGCGAGCCACTGGACCCGAGCGAGCTGTAGCCCTGGGAGCTGCCGCTGTGCACTGGCTGCACCAGGAGCCGGTGGATCTTCTCGCTCAGCTGGACGACGTCGGGTGTGGTGGCCCGAGTCTCGCAGCACTGCGCTGTCGTGAACACGTCTTCATTCAGAGGGCTCCTGGAGACGGACGGACGGGGGATAGCGTTAGAGCACCACTCAGCACGGGAGAAAGAATGCGCGCTACATTTCCTCTCATTGCTTTTCTGTGAGCAGATAAGTAATCTTACGTTCTGACTTTGTGGCGTCCTACGATGAATGCCACCTTCCGGCTCCAGGGATTGACAAATGAAGACCAGCTGGTGTCGATGGTCAGATATTCCCCATTGCGGGCGCACATCCTCAAGGGTGTGTGGTCGAACGGCTGCCCGGCAAACTGAAAGACTGAAGAGAGACAGCAGTGCAGACACGTATGAGAAAATATAATACACAACAAATAAGGGAAAATAAATCAACACAGTAAAAGCCCATTTGCCAGTGCTAGATATACTCACTCTTCTCATGTATAGCCACCATTATGGGCCTGTCTTCAGGGTGGATGATGAGGAGGGCAGGGGTTCCCACCAAGTCCTGAGGCAGGTAGCCCAACAACGGTACTGCCCTGCAAACACAATATATATACATTTACATATATATGTGTGACATGGAATAGCATGTTTTTTTTACTGTCCTAAAGCAGCAAACATTTAAAGGCCATAGAGAGGTAAAAAAACTGACCTTTCGTCAACTTCCTGGAAGAGGCAGCTGGGAGTGTGACTGGTGGTGAAGATCCTCTTGTCTGCAGGGATACGAGGAGCTGAGGGGCACAGAGGACACAGACACAACGGATGAAAAGCATGTTTTGAGGACAGACTGACTAACGGGTTCAAAAGGGCTGTGCATGCGATAAAGGTTTTATTTGCTATTCTTAAATCTGTCCGATCATTAGGACGTCTGCGATGTAATTCATATTCAGAGGAACGCGGTATTCCAAAGCAAACCAGTCGCGTGTCCCTTCGCTCACATGAATACAGATAAGTAGTAAAATGACAAATACCTTCGTATCCAGAGTGGACCCTCTCTGCGATGAGCAAGCAGCAGGGCTGTGGCTCAGCATCGTCCGAGTCTCTGATGGTGAGCTGGTAGGGCGTGAGGCGAAAGGGGTAGTAGCGCATCTCGCCGCCCTGCGCCTGGTCGGCGCTGATGCGACAGAACATGGATTTCTCCTGAGTGCAGTCGACTGGAGGAGAAGCTGAGAGGAAGAAGGGTTGGACGAAGAGTCAGCAATCGCATGCTCTCGATATTTCACCGCCTATGAAACACTGTCTTGAACACCATCTCGCCCTCTTTTTCTAACCCTTTCCCAATTTCACTTCGCCTCAACTCACCAGACCCGATGCAGGAGGCCCAGTTTGGCAGGCGGCAGGGCGCCGTGCCGCTGTAGAAAGTGCTGACGTCCTGCGGGGCCAAAAGCTCCGAAAACATGGTCCCTTGGAGACGCTCTGGCTTACAGCGCAGCAGGGACGAGCCTTGGGGTGATACGTACACGACCTTTCCCGACAAGAATGACACGCCCATGGAGAAAGTGTCCTGAAAGTAGAAAGAAAAGAAAACGATGAGGATGATGGTTTGGATTAAGTGTACTGTAGAAGAGCTTGATCGACTTGGTTTTCATTAGCAAAACTAAGTTATTATTTACTACATATCTGTATAAACCTACAGTGTTTTTGAGGGTGTATTCTGAAGTGATGTTGTCAAGCTCCTCAATTGTGAAGGCAGACAAGTCCAGGCTGCAGTCATGACACTCCTCCACGCTCCACTGATGATAGTACTCCTTGTTGGCTGGAAACGGGAAACATAAATCAGTCAGGGAGTGTGTATAGGTAAAGAGACAATTACATGTTGCGCCACTTTTAGGAAGATACAAACGAAAACACCCCCCTCACCTCGGACTTGTTTGACACACTGAAGTGCGTATTTGAGTGCGTTCAGAGTGCTGGTGTGGCCCTTGGCCTTGCGCTCTGTTGGCAGGCGGAGCTTCAGCTCCTTGATGGCCTTCATCAGGTCTTTCTGGGTCTGGACCCTCGCCGACTGGTTGCTGCTGCAGCCTGAGGTGGAGGGGGGGTCGTGCTCCGAGCTGGTCGACAGCAGGCTGTAGGCCAGGGAGCTGCTGGGAGGCGAGAGACTCTGGGAGTTGGAGCTGGGGAAAGAAGGGACAGTTGGAGCGGTGAATGGCCATTTTACACTCGGATGTACTGTTAGCATAGCACAGGATAGCGTGTGATAGCCTTTTTATTGTCTCTTAGCTTCTTCTTCTCTTACCTCTTGTTGCTCTCTGTGGTTTCCAGCATCATGCCAGAGTCCTTGCCGTTTGACGAGCTGTGGGAGCTGCGCACGGACTGGCGCCCGTGTGACCTGCGGTCTCTCTCCATCCCGCCTTCGCTTTCCCTCTCCCCAGAGTCGTTCCCGCTGGAGAGCCCGTCCATGTCTTCAGAGTTGGGCCCCCTTCTGCCTCTGGACCCTGACCCCACGCTGGGAGATGAGCCGCCGACGGAGCCGCCTCCGTTCCCACTTTCCTGCTCGTGAGTGGCACCATTGGCGCCGGGCTGACCGCTGCTGGTTTTCAGAGAGTTTGACTCTGCTTCCTGGTCACTGTCTTTCTCATCGGCCCTTGCCACTCGCCCCCGAGCGCTGCTGGGCATTGATTTAGAGTCGTCATAACTCATACTAGAGCAGGATGAGGCTGGAACAGCTTTATTAAAAGGGAAAACTTTAATTTAAGTGGGACTACTATGTATATACAGGTGAATCATGGTTACTGGCTGGTAGTTAAAAGAACTAAGGAGAGAAATTCTTTGCTTTTTCAGCAAAAACAATCTAAAAGTCTTGGGCTGTGAGCCCTTCTTTGAAGGTTTTCTAAGGTGCAGATTTTTAGTCAACAAAAACCAAAGGCTGCCTTTCCAAAAAGAACGCAATAAAATTGCGGAAAGGTCTCGCTCAAAGACGAGAGATGATTTTCTGCTTATGAAAGAGCCTTGGCACAAGTGCTCCAACAGATGGGATGAGAGATTGTGAGGGAGAGTGAGAAAAAACAGCTCTTGGTGAGCTCTCTGTATCTGTAACACTCTGTAGCTGGTCTTCTCGCCTCTTCAGAGGTGTGATGCTCTAGGTGCTAAAGGCCACCTGCAACGACAGAAAAAGAAAGAGAAGGAACAATATTAGCTTACATTCGTCTTGTAAGTATCTCCCAAGGACTACACAGCTATGGAAAGACAAAAGGAACTCTTACCATCGGTTTATCGTGTTGGCCTCCTAAGGAAGCTTCAAACATGGCCATGTAATGCCTTGTCGGCCTTGTGGTGCAGACTGAATGTTTGTCAGTCATGTTTGTGGTTGTTTTAGTAGCGCACAGCTGTTAGCCTTTTACCCAGATTATCTGGATTAAATTATCACCCCATTTTGAGCACGGAATGACAATAATCTCCTACTCCTATTGGCATGCAGCAAGTGCGTATGCATGCATTTTAATATAGAGCAAGTGAACATGCACTAATGCCGAAAATTACATTGTTAGTCGCCTTTGTTTTAGTCCACTTTTACCCATAGGGCAGTCAAAACAAATGGAACGCCAGGAGGATTTAACAAAGCTCTCCATCAGAGGGCTATTACAAATTAGGGATTGCTCGTCAATCCCTAAAATGTATTAGGCCACCACTTACGCAAGTGAAATTCCACCGCTAATTATTCCTTGGGCAAGGGACACGCCCCGTAATCCTTTAAGACCTGCAGATGCAAACGGAAGAAGACGGAGGCCAGCCCTCATTGTTCAATCCTTTTTTAATTTCATACACGTCAATGCACAAATTCCCACCGACCGGAAATGTAGTGCTTCCAGATCAGCTAACATGTGTTTGGGGTGCGGGATTAAACCCAACCATGCAGATTCCCCACTGCCATGGCTGAAATAGCTCGGTCGGGTTTGAACCTATGACGGTGAGGTAACAATGCACTATACTCAGATTATTTACAGGAAATCCACTCAGTAAAACCGCCGTTTATGCAAGATTGTGTCTATTTTAGTGTGGGAAAGAATAGGCAGCATCACTCTCACTCGCTGTTTTTACGCACAAGATTGCGATCTCTCTGAACATATGCACAAGGACAAGTCATTCAAATATTCACTTCGAGCTGGTCAGCAAAACAGTCACTACTGCGTTGCCAGTGATTGACAATCTGCTCACTGTGAAACAAGTGTCAACCTGATGTAAAGGATGTGTGTGCCAGGGTATTTGAATACCATGACTAACAATCACAACAAGGGCTTAGTCACTTATGATATAATAAATGGAGAATACATGCATGCTGGTTTTATAATGTGAAACTGTTAACGATTGGTCGATCAATCACTGAGCAGATTGACAGTAAAATAGTCTGCACCTGAATTGGATAATAAGCCCCTTGTATATTGTACTATAATTGTATATCTACAGAAAAGTTCTTACAAATATATTTCCTATTATTAAGACAAGGGCATTAACACCCTGCTGCATTGTACAGATGGAGGCTGCTGGAAGGCGTGGCGAAGCTCCGTGTTTGAACATGTGCGAACTTCTCCGGTTGTCTGAGAGAACCCGCCCCCTTTTCCGCTCCACCATTATCACATGTCGATACTATTCAACCACCTTAAGAGATAAATAGTATAATTGAATTCATCGCCGGGCATCCGTGTCATTGTTCACTGCATTGTCCTATAGCTCTCTGTCCGCTTTGCTTTTCTCTGCGTGCACCTGGCACGTGTCCGCAGCGGTGTTTTCCGCGAGCCCTGCCGGCTGCCGATTGGTCGGCTCGCTGGACCAATGAGAGAGCAGCACGCTGCAGAGGCCACGCTGCCTGAGACAGGGTCCGCCTCGCGCTGTCGCCTGCATATGCAACGAGACGAGCTGATTCACGCTCAGCGATTGGACACTGTACATAAGGCACATTTATGAGATGGAGAGGCACGCGCTTCCTTTGTCAAAATAAATGGCCACATGACTTCTTAAAGTACTACGACTAAGTCCCAATACACGAAGTCATTACATTATTATAAACAAATGTACTATACATTACAGAATATGTATATATTGGATTTTCTTTACTCTTGTTTAACTTAAAGTATATCATGCCTATGCTGTTTAAATAAACAAGACAAAATAATATATTTTAAGTCTCATCTTGTATTAGCTCATTCTGCCATTCATTGAGATACTTTCTGTGTAATAGATGGCAATTGTTCATTGTTTTGGATTCAAAAAACACATCAAAGATATAGTTGTACGTCCCTAAACTACACATCTGGTGTAAACATCATCCAGCTTTGTGACAAGTTAAAGAAATAATATAGCCTTCCAGCAAAACTCGTTTGTCATAACTTTGGTGAGCAATCCCTGCACAGCTGTAAACATGTGTTTGAAACTTAAATGAGGGGCTGTTTAACAGTCACCACCACACCTGGCATTAATAATTTGTAATTGTAACACAACAGGAAGAATACCACCCCTGGCATGTTCAAGGGCCACCAGTGGGCTATTTCCTGGCAGCCTGTGGGAAGTTTGGTGGTCTTGATTGTTTCAATGTCGTCTGACAACATCGAGGAGGCACACACACACCCTCTGATTCCAAAGTCTTTAGTTCAGTTCACAGTGGAATAGAGAAGTATTGTGGCCAGTGAAGATTAGAGTCCAAACTAGATACTGCAGGCGATTCATTGTCATATTAAGAGTATCACAGTGTTGGAAACTATAAGCTGTTTACTTGTCCTGTCTCAGGTGATGAGTCAGTCCCCCACACGTGTGTGCGTGTCTTTCATTTTTTTATCTTCTGTTTACAACCCTGTCTGGCACATGCTTCTGTCAACTTTTGGGATGTTTTATGTGCACTCAGGCAGTAAATAGGGTGTGATATGTACAAGAATATGAAGGATTGAATCTGTGCAGGTGGTCTGTTTTTCATGGCCGGTTTAAGTTAAAGCAGTTTTTCCTCTAAAACGTTTGTCTCATGTCATCCATGAGCATGCATGACGAATTACTGCATGTACCTCTCACAGTGGAGCATTTAGCAGCCCTGATACTACACGAAGCGGGACCTAAAGGGTTAAACGAGAGCACTAACTCCGTTAGATGGGACCACACAAACACAAAGCTGGTGGTTTCACTGTGAATTGTAATAAGTCTTAATGGCTTAAAAGACGAAGCAGTCAAATTAAGGGATTTCTGCCGTTTCGGCACGAACAGCCCAAAGTGACAGCTAGCATGCTAGCTCCAAAGCTACAGCGATAGACACGACTAGCTTACCTTAGATGTGCTTTAAAAACGACAACAACAGCTTTGCTATTCCACCGTGAGGTTCTTGAAAGTCCAACCGAACGAAGTACAAATCCCGGTAGCGACGACTGCCTTTGCTTGGCGATCATCTGCGTTTGCTCTCGAAATTTTTTCGCTCGCCCACCCAACACTAGTTTACACGCAGGGGCACACGTGCCGGTGCTTGGTCCAACGAGTAGAATCAACCGCCGTGATTGGACAGCGGGAGTAAATGTCTCCGCCTCCAACCCGCCCCGACGCGTTCTGATTGGCTGAGAGGCAGGGCTAGCGGCACGGGGCTTGTGGAAATCACGTTGCCGTGTGTATGGTCCTGAGGTCCCTTCTAAACATACATGAGAGGGCGGAGACTGTTCCCACACTTGATGTGGCCTACTTGGTGAACCGTAATAAGGGTAATGCCTTCGCAATTAGATTTTGTGTTGGGAATTAACAAAGTTGGTAAATAAACGTATTTTACTGTAGTCCTCATTTAGCAGATGTTACAGTTCCAGTGGTGTTATTTTGTCTATAACTAGTCATAAATTGAGGTATGACTATTATAAATCAACCCTGATAACTAATTTTAAATAGTTAAAACATGCTGCTGTTTCTGCTGATCATCATCATTGTAAATAATAATAATAGTGTTTTTTTTTTTTTACTGTTATCATGAAATGTAATTGTTGAACATAATGTTTGACGAAAAAAGAAAATAAATTTAACTCAAGTTCCACTTAGTAGTTTTTTTCGAAGTGAACTAAGCAAAGATAAGGCAAAAAGCTCAGGAGGAGTGACCTGAAGTTGTGTTTTTTATTTCAAACTATTATCAATATCAATACTTTGTCCTTTATATCGATCTATAGTTTTTTTTTAAACTCTGATCAACTAGCCTGTGAGATGCAGTTGAAAGCTCCAGAAAAAGAGGATCTTGAGTTGAGATGTTTTTTAATGTCAGATCTTTAGTATAGTTTTGTTTTCTTTATTTTTCTCCTATTCCCATCTTCCTCATATAATTCCCTTAAAGTCATGTCCCCAGCTGAAAGTTTCATTGATACTTTCAAATCGTAGGTGTACAAATTCAAAATAATAATCAGAAGCCAACTGTATTTGAAACCAGTCACACTACAATTATTCTGAGATATGGCCAAGTAGAAAATAAATCTGCCTCATCTTGTCTTTCCCCATGCACAAAACCACACGGGTGCTATTTCTGCTGCGCGTTTGCGTTGTACTTACGGCTGCGGCAAAGCCTCAACATGCACAATCCAACGTGCTCTCAGATGGTGACGTCAGTTGCACTGCTTGCCCTCTCCAAATGCACGAGGCTGACGGTGTGGTTGGTGAGAAGCTGTAAACAGTGCAGTAGGGCATATGCCAGTGTGTTAATATCCTTCACAACAATTATAGTCGAGTCTTTAATAGGGGCACATTTACTGTGCCACAATGCACGTAGTATTTGTTGTACTACAACAACAAAAAATACAATATTGTAAAAATATATCTCTAAGGAAAGTATCAATATATCAGCATGAGCTTCTCTTCTCTTACAGCGGTAGATTATTTGTCAGTCAATATTTGGTCATAATTACAGTACAATAAACCATGTGTAAAGTACATTTATATACATATATATTCCCTAGGTGGCAGTAAACTCTGATGTTTTTACTGTAGTAAAAGTGGCAATACTACTGTGTTAAAATACTCCGTTACAAGTAAAAGCCCCTCATTCAAAACTTAATTGAAGTAAAAGCCTACAAACGTATTGGCATAAAAATACAAACAGTAAAAGTACTCATCATGCAAAACGACCATTTCAAAATCATATATTTTATTATTGGATTATAATTATTGATGCACAGATATGTAGGTCTAATGTTGCACCCAGTGAAGGTGCAGATAATTTTAGCTATGTCATGTACTGCTGCGTGGTTTAATCTATGAAGATACAGCATCATTTATTCGTTGAACCTGTCTAAATGTGCCACTTTCTTCAGAAGTCACTGGTTCTCTTGGGTTCTCTGCCATTTGTTGTTTACTAGCGTGTACTTGGCCGGTCTGAGCTTGTTTTGCTGGAAACTGCAGTGAGACTCAGTCTCACTGATATACTTGGCTTTTGTGCATAGACCTGCAGCATCCTTTACCAGTAGGTCTGGTACGAGCTCAGTGTTAATATTAATGTATAATCAAACATTAAACCTTATGACTGCTTGTCTATTAACATGGAATCAAATGAATATGAAAAGGAGGAGTGGCAAAACATTTAAAAAAAAACGTTTTTATATCGTGCTTGGCTGCTTTCCTGACGATGCTTGAATATCACAGACACATTCACATTGCAGCTGCTTCAAAATGTGTTTCCATCTAAGTGGTCTGTTATAAATTTGGATATACGGCATTTCATTGGTTGAGCTGCATAGCGCCATCTGGCCAATAGTCTGGTGTTTGGCACCAGCTACTGGCAGGTGCTTCTCGTCTTGCTGCACACAGTCAGACGAGTTCACTGAACACATGTTTCCCATTTAAACGCACGTATTTTAACATATTAAGCCGGCTACAGTGGCTATTTTACATGCTACAAGCAGCATACAATGTTAAATGTACATAATGTTTCTGGTAAAACATTGCATTTGCATAATGAAATGTGCACATTATAAAATGTGCATATACTATGAGTGATGCTGATCAGCAGATCCAAATGTAAGCATGGATGTGTCCAATAGAGGGCAGCATTGCTTCAGATGAATGTCACATGCGTGAACACACTGCCACGCAGGACTGAACTAGTGTGGCGCAGTCACAAGGAAAACATGCAATTAATTAAGAACTTGACTTTAAAATACATTAGTAGTTGCTCGTGATGTCCAGGGTGTTCCCAAGCTCGATTACTGTGTGCAAAGGTAGTTTTATTTGTGTTTCTTGTATTTTAAAGGGCTCAACCTTACTCTGGTATCACTTCAGATCATCTAATTATGGTGAAGTGATTACAGGTGCGCCATTGGCTCCACTCAGCAGCGTCAAGTCATGGAAAGAAGGGGATAACAGTTTTATAATAAATTACTTCCTGTTAGTGCATCGTGTGTGTGTGTGTTTGTGTGCCCAAATAAGAATTGTAATTGTAATATTTATAATAATAATAATAACTTTATTTATGTAGCACCTTTAAAACACAGAGTTTACAAAGTGCTTTGACAGACAGAGCAGCCAATGCAATAATAACAGAAAGCTCAACAGTGAGGCCCAACAAAGCATGACAACTAAGGTAAGAGTTAAACCCGGATAAAACAGTACAGTAGATAAAAATAAATAAAAGATACGATAAAAATAAACTAATAAATAAATAAAATAAAATAATTTAGTAAAATCAACAAATAAAAATAAAGCAGTAAAGCGACAACGTCACATAAAAGCCAGGCTGTAAAAATAGGTTTTATTAAGAAGTGATTTAAAAGAGATTACTGATCCTGCGAGCCTTATCTCCTCCGGTCGCTCCAAAGCCGAGGGGTCCTGATGGCAAAGGCACGGCCACCTTTTAATTTTCAGCCTCGACTTTGGAAGGGCCCCACCTGAGGATCTAAGTATGCTAGCTGGCTCATAAGGGGTCAACATTTCCTCTATATATTTTGGGGCCAGACCCATATACGTGCTTTAAAAGTGATCTTAAATCTTAAAATCTAAAAATCCAACTCCTCCACAAAACAAAACTCCTGCAGTGGTTTCCGGGTCTCTATTGTTTCCTCTTCCCTTGTGGGTTCAATGTTGAAGCCTATCTGGTTACCTTGGTTTTGGGCTTCCATAGTGTAAGGTTTGTCTAATCCAATCCCACTTCCTCTTCCACATTTGGCTGTGTGTTCCAGTAGTCATGCTGCCATACTATTTAGTATGCCACAATAAGATTTAGTATATCCTCACAGCAAGAGCGGCAGGTTTGATCCAGAGACTGGCCGGTTCTCCCCATGTCAGCGTGGGCTCTCTCAGAGTTCTCCTCTGGGTTCTCCCAGCTTCCTCCCACAGGCCAAAGACATGCAGCTTAGACCCTCCTCCTTTATTTCTGATGGCGTTTGACCAATGTGTCTTGAGAAAGGTCTGGACTTTGGATATTTTGTTTTTTTCTCCATGTTTCTGAACCGTAAGCAGCTCTGATTTCTCAACATCTGGAAGGCGATGTGAGCATTAACAGGGCAGGTGTGCCTGAAGCCCTTGTACACTGCTGCCATCTGCAGGTCGACGGACAGAGACCTCCGCTGATCCAACACACAGAATATTGTACTTTTTTTTTCCCTTTGTGTTGTAAATAAAAAAAGCATACGAACTCTCTGACTTGGTGGAGTTTTCATGTAATTATTTACAGACTGAAATACATTCAACGTTCATTTAAAGTGGTTGAAAAATAACTAATACAAAGAGATGGACAGTGAAATAATCTCAATCCTTTTTGTCTTCTGGTACATCTTTGTCCTCAGTTGCAGCTGCAGTTCAAGGGTCAAGCCTCCTGGACACCAGCTTCTTCCTCAGACTCCTCACTGGTGTTGACGCTGGTGATAAAGGGAAACACATATATGGTTATTCTAGTGTATGATCAAGTATATAAATAAGGCTGCTGTTTTTTTCCAATTTTCTGCTCCCAAATTGTGGATTTTTAAGTTTCGGGAGATAACTGCAGTATTTTCTCTTTTACTGGGTTCATGGATGATTTTGCAAACTAATTTAGGTCGCTGAAATATATTTGAAAAATACATCGAAAGGGTAAAAAAACGATATACACTTATATCTCAGGCCATGCTTTATTAATTGCTTGTTTTATTCTTAAATATATTTTCTCTCTCTTAATTTTTCAATATAATTTAACCTGTTTACCGTTTGTGTCTGATTGTTTTGCAGCATCATTTCCACTACGTTGATTGTACTCTATTCTTCATCTTTGTATGATAGGTTCTTGTCATGTTTTGTACATTTTCCTTGTGTTAAATACATTTTTTTTAGATGCACATAGTTTTTCCTCAACATAGTTCTTTCTACACTTTTATTGTGTCTGAAATGATGATTCACGGCTCTATTATTGTCATGTTAACAACAACAATTTGTTGAATGGTTGTTTCGATAAATCTCAGTAAAACACACTTGTTTTCTGCGCTCCAGCTTCAGTCTTGGTTTTGTCTAGACATGGGTGTAGGCTAATTTCTGGTTGCAATCTTTTGGTTTAAAAACAACGAGGTAAAAGCTAAGGTCAAAACTCTACTTTGCTGTACAACTTGTGTATTTTGTTGTTGTTGTTGTTCTGGCACAGAGGATTCTGTGAGTCTGGAAACACTGTCTTTTTCTTTAATTACTTAAAACCAAGTGCCAGAGGAAGTACACAGATCTTTTACTTACGCAAATGAATGCATAGCTTTTATTTGTATTTCTACACCGTGGTATTGCTACTTTTATTTGAGTAAAGGTACAAAGCATTAGCTTCAAAATATTCGGAAGTACCAAAAGTTAAAGCACAAATTATTCAGAGCAATGAGAATTATTGAATTATAATGAATGATTATTGCATTTATTAGTACTTTGCTTTAATGTTACTGCTGGTAAAAGTGGGGCTGTAAAAAAAAACCCCGTTATAATAGCTTGTGAATTCCACCAAGGGATCAATAAAGTCGTATCTTTATCCATAATGATACATCATAATGTATTTGTTGGTGAGATTGTGTTTTATTAACATGAATTTGCAAAGTAACTGGTAACTAAAAGTATCAAATAAATGTAGCGGAGTAAAAAGTGCATTATCTCCCTCTGGATTCTAGTGAGTAGAAGTACAAAGTAGCATAAAATGCAAATACTCAAAGAAAAGTAGCAGTAACTCAAACCTGTACTAAACCCGCCTTTTTAGCAAAAGCCAATGAAGACGCTGCCTCTCCTGTGTACCTCTCTTTGTTGGAGGGTCATCAGGTAACAGGTGGGGAGTATCGCTTTAAGATTAGGGCGTATCCACTCTCTGTGAATCAGGAAATACATTGATGTTAGTGAAAACAGTCCCTCCTCTGGCGTAGTTTGACCGCGGTTTGTGGTGACCACGGCTTTCACAACATCATCACCACTTCTCCGGGTATCTCCTGTCCGTCTATGGCTAATTCAACCGCAGACACGCGTAAGTACGCGCGCCTTCAACCCTTCTGTGTGGAAACCAAAAGGTGTAACGTTAACACCGCTGCACGGTCGTGACTCCTTTTTCTCATCTCCTCCTCAGAAAAAAAGTTTGCTCTCAAAATGCCTTGAGGTTATTAAATCATAAATAGGGACTCTCTGCGATAGATGCATTGTTTATGGAAACACGAACGTTGGCCACTAATTAAGGTAGAATACAAATATTTAAGTGACGTTTTAGACAGATACTGCACACATAGCTCCTGCGTGACAGCCCCGGAACTTCAAGACATCATGCAGTCAGCGAAAAACAGAAGCATGTTGAGCATTTATAATTAGATAACTTCACGTTAATACAAAATAAACTGACAAACTGACTTAAAATGCCAATGTAAACTCTGTGTTTACCAGCAGACACATTATAAAGGTTTATGATCCCACCCTAACAAAAGTTTAGGCTATGTTTGGAAGAGAATTGTTTTTATTATTGTCCCAACATCAGTTAAAAGCTACAGCAAGTGTTGCTGAGGTGATAATGCACGTATGGCTTTATTTTATAAGCTAATTACTGCTTATCCAAGATTTTAGTCAAATCAGACTGTATTTCATCAGGCACCAGAGCTTACATTGTACTTTTCCTTCCCTTAAAACTGTTATTTCTCTGTACTAATGTGCTGCAGGGATTGCGGATTCTTGTGGGCCAACCTGTAAATTAGCATCGCACCAGTTGACACCCAGTCAAAACAAAACAAAACAAAAATGGGAATTTTCCTTTGGAATCACACATTTATGATACTTACAAGTTATGGTACTTTACAGGTTTTGTCCAGCCAATCTTCACATATGACCGCCACAATAAAAGATAAAGAATTACTTCATTGTCTTGTCGGGATAAAAGTCTCGCATGCAAATATAGATGTTTTACTCTTCACAGCCTGTTTGGAGTCTGTGGGTATTTTTTGAAATACTGCTCGGACCATTTCTGTGTCTGAGAAGAGTAGCCTACTGTACGTGTCTCTGCATCAAGAAAATACTCAAGCCAGTGTTCCATGTTACGCTTTGGTTTTCCTCCTAACCTTTTACAATTCTGGGCCTGTTTCAATTTTCCATGGAGAGTCCACAGGAGTCTGTGGCTTGCAAAAGGCCAAGGCTGAACCCTCACGCTCATTTAATTAGACCTAGTCCCTCCGGTGCGTTGGTTTGGTATTAATGGTATGTGTGTGTGTGTGGGAGGGAGGGAGAGTGTGTGTGTCTTGGATCAATTCAGCTGTCTTCACAGCATCATCTAACGACTGCAGCGTACAACTTATGGAACTTGCGGACCTTATTGTGGTTCGGGACCCCCCCAAGAGGACCTGAGATAAGGGTCACAAGATTATTAAAAGGGATAAAAAAAAGTAAATAAGAAAAAGCATTTTTGTTTGCACAAAACTGTTTGTTTTTTTAGTAAAATTCTTGACACTTTTATGACCTCAGGCCTGTGAAAATCCTTCGAATGAAACAATATCTGAAGAAAAACAATCGTGATGACGTCCACATACAAGCTAACACTCACTGTGAGAAACAACTATTCTCACAGCATTGCGTTTTATGTTGCTTTTAAAGATTTACTATGCTTCTAAATGAAGTTGAGTAGTTCAAAGCCGTCTGGGGGAGCTCTATTTTTCAAGTCGCCCTAATAAAAAGATCCTCCGCTGTTGTTTGTTCTTGGTAAGTAAGGTGCTATTTTTATCATCAAAGGGATGCAGCAATTAATCTCATGCTTCAAATTTAGAATTGTGCACCAATTGGTTACAGTGTGCCGTTACAGGGGGAACATGTGGCGCAATGAGCTGACTGAGACTGTGGCATCTGTCACGGGGCCAGTGCTATGTCTGCAAGTGAGACCGTGATTGAGGGAGGTTTTAACTCCACTTAGTGTCTAAATAGATAAGGGACCAAGAGTATGAATGTCTCGTTTAATCTGAAATGAGAAGCGGTTATTTTAAATCTGAGGGTCTCAGATTTGCTTTGCTAGCTGCACATGATTTCCTGAAATGGGTAAGCTACAGATGGGCCTTTTTAGCCCATTCATATTCTTGTTATGGTGAAATGAAAACTTTCATACACACATACATTTAACGCCTACAAATATGGATTGAAGCAGAATATTTCCGGAGTAGATTCTCAGAAAATGAAGGTGCACTAAGACTCTGGTGTAGTTGGAAGGAGAGGTTATTAAGACCCAAACGGTGGTCAACGAGGAGACACGGAACAGTTTCCATTTCCGTTCTCTCTCTCCTTCCCTAAAATGAGCAAATGGAGGAGAATAATGCAGTCAGCCCAGCTGAGGATCAGATTACCGACTGGTTAAGAGGAAAAGTCTCTCAGCCCAGACTGATTCCCTGATTCCTTTCAGAGTAGTATTATTTCATGCAACATTTGCCAAGAAGTGACTGACAACATTGGAAATGCCCTGAAACCTAAAAATACAACAGGAAGTATAATTTAGGTTTGGCAAACAATGATGTCATGAAGTGCTGATCTCAGCAAGTGAGGAACACTGACGTCCTCTTTTCTGAGAAGCCCTTTGGTGGTGTTGTGTTGTCATCATCCTTATGCACTGATTCTGTAGGTAATGGGTGATTTCCATGCACAAATTTGGGTGCTAGCAAGAGATTCAAATATCACAATAGACACTCGTGGTGTTGAAATTGCCTTTATCGATGGCTAAAATAGTTCCATTAGTTCATCAATGGAAAGAGAGGATAAAGGCAAAGAATTCAATCACAAGTCGTTCTCCTTTTTGTGTGTTTTTTATTTTGCGGTGATTGATTTTCCATCATGTTGTGAAAGAAGCTGTTGCAGCAGAGACGTTGATAAACCTTTAAGGCAGGTAGACCTTCTCTCAGGGTAAATCCTCATAAACCTGCAGGAAATGAAACTAGCAGAGCAGCAGCGCATGAGCTATGCTCCAGAGGATGCTTCAACTGAAGGATTTGACGTCGTAGACTGAGATACGTTTGCTCCTCCAGAGTCAGAAAGGGGGAATTCCTCTTATCAGTGATGGTGACAGTGAATTCGGAAGGTAACCACCACTCGGGTTCACTTCTCTTGTGATGTAAGCGTTGAATTTGATGTTTTCCTCGTAGCTTGTCCCATATTGGATCTTGCGGCCTCGTTTGTATCACTTACACATCATGTCGTCATATTTTCATTAAAAGTCAAAGTAAACACAGTTGCTCTTCTTCTCTAGTTGATTTTTAACGGACATCAAGGCCTGATTATCCATTTTTTTCAATGTCGATGTGATACCCGAGTAGTTTGTTTGTGCCAAAACTGTTCAACGAATCGATCATGTGACGGACAAATCGGGCAGTTCTGATCATCGATTGATCATTTAAAGGTGCTAAATTTAAAAATCAGAGCGTTAATATGGCAGCAAATGTGTTTTAGATATGGTTTGAATTCCGTATTGAGCACCCTTAAAACAAATGATTGAGACAAAACACCAAACGTTCTTGGTTCCTGCTTCTCAAATGTGAACCTTTGCCGCTTTTCTTTGGTTTGTATCATAATGTATATTGAATATTTTGTATGTTTTGGGCTGTTGGTTGGATTTTTAAAAAGACGAAACCTCGGGTGATTTGGATTTTTTTTTTAAACATTTTTATCAAGTCAACGATTAATTGAATACAAAAAACAATGTGCAGCTGAATCAATAAAGACAACAATCCTTTGTTAAAGCCTTAGATTTGCACTCAACCTTCGGTTCTCGTGTTGGTCTCTACCCAAAGCATTGAGGTTTTGCACCCAGCCCTATTTATACCCTCACAAAGCTTTGGCAGAAACCATCCAATCAAAGCTCAACACGGCCCAAAAGTTTCTTTTCAATATCATAATTTGATATATGAATCCACACCTGTGATGTGCGTGTGTTCCAGATATCTCTATTTTTGGCTGTTCCCTCTGAGGACTTTCATCATGGCACCAGCTGTGGTTGCTAAGAGATTTCTGTGACTCAAGTCTAAATCCTCCTCCAGGACTCTATTCAACCCATCTTTTTCTATTTCAATGCTTTTGATACAATCCTCCCATTGGCCTGTGCTTACTCACGAGTCATTTGGAGCGGCATGGGAGCGTGCCAGGACGACCTACCAGTCTATAAGCACATGGACGCGCACACCAGTCTGTCAGCAGACAATGGTCTTTACCAGTGTGTTCAGTCTGATACATCGGGGGAACTGGGACAATGGGGGGGGAAGCACACATGCCTCTGTGTGCATCAGGAGGCACATGGTTGGGTATGTAGATACGCGCCTGTACCCACAATGCTCTGCTGCGTTTCCAAACGGCATGAACATGTGATTTGAGGCTGATATGAGTTGAGATTCTGTTCCTGTGACCTCCCATATCAGTCTGTGTGTCTGACTCTCTATGTGTGTGTGTCTCTCTCACGCGCACACAAACACACACTCTCTGATGGGAACAGGAAAACAGACAAAGGCCCTCTTGTCTGTTGTGCTTTCCACCTCACGTGGTCCGCCAACAGCAGGAGCCAGGGGAGCTTTGGCCGATAGCTGACCCATCACTGTCTACCTTTTTGACCTGATCCCTTTCGAGACATTAGGGCCACCATTTAAAATGTAATATATAGTCACTAATGACTCTGCGAAGATGTGATTGCCGTTTTAGCTACTTGTCACATATTATAGAAGAAACTGGCCAATCAAGTAAATAATCGGCGGGATTAATTGATGAGGAAAACAATGGTTAGTCTCAGTGAAGTCTGTAAAGTTTGTTGAGCTCAGAGTTGAGGCACCCTGATGGGTCTGAAGTCTGGTGTGCGGGTGGGTGGGCAGATGGGAGTGGGAGAGGGAAGCTTTAGTGCTGTAGTTTATGGTCCCTGTACCCGTTTTTGCTGCAATCAGTTGCTATGATAACATAGCAACTATATGACCAACCCCGCTAAATGTCGACTGAGCAGTTATAATTTTTGGTTTCGCCTTTTTTGACTCTCTGCCTCTTTCATGAAATGAGCTGCTGAGAGAGACGGCAGCAGACTGGAGGGATCCTGGACGGGAACAGGAAATCTCTGTCTCATGTCTCAGCTGATAGCATTTAAATCCCCTCAGCTGCTCGGCCCCCAAGTGTAGCCTCGCACTCACTGGATATCAGGTTGCCATGAAGGGCGTCGTAATGACGATCCATTTTTGTGTCCTGTCGCAACAATATTTAGAATAATTCATTTTTTCCTCTCTTGTTCCTTTGCTCCCCTTCGTCCCTCTTCGTCCTCTAGGGGGTCAGACTACAGCTGATGGAAAAGGTGAAGCAGGGATAAACCACACGGAATACATCGCCTTCATCCTGGTGCCTGCTTTCTTCCTTTTGGGCCTGTTGGGGGTGGTGATCTGCCACGTGTTGAAGAGGAAGGGCTATCGCTGCACCACTGAGGCCAATGATGAGGAGCAGTGTGAGGAGGAAGAAAAGGATCCCGAGCTGGGCGGAGGTAAGGAAATCTGAATAAAAAAGGGAGGGAGTTGGAAAAACCTCTGACACTGCAGACTCTAGGAAATGTGTCATTGTCTGAGAGGCCATTATGATTAGCTTTATGCGTTTATTACATCTATGTGCTCATTGTTTGAGGGCATCCATGATATTCAATTATATTCAATATTGGGCCAAATTCCCTCTGCAGTCAGCCAAACTGGGACTCTGTTGCATTTCAGTCGATGGAAAAGTACATGCAAGTTGTTTTTTGAAATGAGTCATCGGTCTGCATGAGGTTTTTCACTCTCCTGTCATGTGATGGTGAAATTCAAGGTAAAAAAAATCCCTAGATTCTCCCACCTGCCCTCCAGTCCTCACAGGCTTCTACTACATTCCTGAGGCTAATGACTTCGGTGTGTGCCAGCTACTGACGGCGCAGATGATAAGAATAGACTTGTATGATGCGAATGGCTCTTCAGATAACTCGCTGCGAAATCACAAACATAAGCTCAGAAATCCTATTTATGTTGTTTTTACAGTAAGTCGTCACGTGGCGATATTGCTAGCTCTTTACCATTGTGTTGTTAAAGGTGCGAGAGCCCAGATTGGGAGCATTTCCATTGCCTCTCGGTGCGTAACAAAGCAAAGAAGCTCAAATGACAAAACGCACACAGAGGTAGAGTGACACTATATCTTTACAAACAGTTGTTTGCTGCTATATTAATGTTTAGGAATGTGAAATACGGCTCCCTATTCCAGCCGTGAGCCTCGATTGCTTCTGTCTTTCTAAGGAGTGGAGGCCAATAGAAACCAGGAAGATGTTTGACATTCACACCACTCGTGTTGTGACTCAACTTCGGGTGTGTTGAGTGACGTGGAACTAAGAAATTCTCCACACAGTTTGATTTCCCTTGGCTCCTAATGATAACTCCAGATAATGCTTAATTGCTATACGCATTGTGTACGTGTGGATGACTTTGGAGAAAGTAGCAGACTTTGTGAACTTCCGCACACTGAAAAGAAACAAAGTTTACTTGCTTCACTTGGGGTTTTTTTTCTCCCCCAGTTTGCATCTGTCACGTCATGTTTTGCTGGTACAGTATGTTGCTTGGCCACACAGAGAGGGATGTGAGGTTTCCCTTTCCTTCTAGTGACTGTCGTGTGCAGACGTGGAACCTCTGGTATTACTGGATTGCTCTGTTATATAAGAGTGAAGGGTTTACACCACGCTGCCAAGATCAGCGAGAGTCTGCTTTACGGACTTCACTATTAAACATACAACTCCTGGCACATCACTTCTCCACTGTTTCCCCATGTTGGCCAAAGCCCTGAACCCCTCCATTGAATCCTATGACCGGATCGGTTCAGCGGAGTAGGTATTAGTGGGAAAGGGAAGGCGTAAAGCTGGTTTATCTTGTGGCTAGCAAATGTAAGTGCATCAGGGTTTTTCCCTGCGTCTGTCTTTCTGCGACAGGCCCAACCCTTTCTCTCTCTCATACATCGAAACAAAAGAGTAGCAAAAGAACATGCTGCGTGTGTGTTCTCTCACTCATTCAGTTGATCCGATCATCAGTCTTCTCTTGTTGCACAATGATCAGGTTTCCTCTTTCTGCTTTCCGCTGGCGAGCAGCTCCCTTTACGACAGGCAGCTTTTCAATAAACAAATCATTCGTGGCGCACTAGAAGACGCCCACGAATTGCTGCCAGAGTACATTATGTTTATCAGAACATGAGGAAATACTCTGGAAGCGGTCAACAGGAAGCTCTAGGAAGTGCCTCACAGGGGTCTCTGAAGTAATAATCAAACCAAATGCTCCGTTAGTCTATGTGTGGCTTTTCATTCGAAATGAATAATTGCATCCTGCTCCAGTTAAACCGTTAGACCTATGGGAGTACCATAGGTTGTACCAGAGTGGTAATAGTAACAAGTGCTCTTGAATTCTGATTTATGGGTATCATGTTTAGCATTTCCGATGTAAAAAGGGGCCCTGAGGGCGTGCTGGAGGAGAGTTTTACAGTTTGTTTTACTGTCCTGCGCTCCGAAAATATACTGCCTAAATATTTATGACGTGCTTTTAACATGTTGCTTGAGGACATAATAACTTTTAATACTGATCACACACACACACACACACACACACACACACACACACACACGTATTTCTAACTGTGTGTGTTTTTTTTCTGCTTATCTTCCAGAAATGAATGACACCCTCAGTGAAAACAACGACACCGTCGGGCAGATAATCCACTACATCATGAAAAATGAAGGTATGTGTCCAAAGTACTAAACAACAAACGAAACACATTAAATCAATTTATTTTACCCCTTTTTACTGACTGTTGATTAAACACTGTGCCTGAGGTTCCCTTTCTGCTCTGTCTCTTTTTCTGCCTCTTCGATGAAGTCACTATCGCAGCGCCATTTATTCCTTAAATTGAAATCCCTTCCCTGAGCCGGAGCGTGAAGTTAAATTCATTAATAAGTCACAGCACTCTGCTTCAACCAAGTAATTGCGCTCCTTCTGTTCGGCTGAGTTTGTAAGTGGCAGCAGGAAAGATGAGGATCAAAGTATTGCGTCGGCTTGAATAGGATGGTCACACGTGCCTTTCCTGACACAGTAGATGACAGTATTTCCCCTCAGGGCGAATGAACCGCCCGCAGCAGTGATGTGCAATTGAAGCATCTTTGCTTTGAACGTAGAAAAGGGTGCTTTGCAATGTTAGTGAAATAACTGAACTGCTGTTTTACTTGAACAGCGTAAGTTGTTGAAGCAGTTCCTGGAAAAAAACAGACTTGCAGGTTCGGTGTTTAGTTTGATATCAGGTTATATTTCATTATAGTTTTACTGAGTCTGGATGGAAGGAGATCCTGGACTGACTGTGGATTTTTATGGTTGTGCACGTGAAGAGCAAAAAATAGTTTTCGACGTGTTTCACTTCTTCTAATGGCACATCAATTATACCGAGGTAGAAGTGTAGCTGCCAAAAGTTCAGCTCCTCTTGGTATAATGAACGACAATATGATATAACAAAGTTGTAATCACATAAAATAGGAGAGATTATAGTTGTTAGCAGAATATCTGCTTATAACTACAATGTAATAAATAAGATAATAAAGGATGCATCTTTGTTATTATTATGTATTCTTTATTACATATATACTGATTATAGATTATGAATAAGGGGTTAAAGTAAACTGTTGCCACTATTTATTTAGTAATTTCCAGATCCAGTTTATCTGTGAGTACTGGTCCCTGAAGCAGATTCCAACTGTGCCGTCTGAACCGCCCCTCACATCTTCTCCAGATGACTAACATACTGTTTGACACACGAAGGCAGCATTGTCCTGTTTTTTGGTGTCTGGCCACCATTGTCCTCTGTTTGATTTTTCTGTCCACCCTCAAGAGGCAAAGCGTCAAAGCTGACTCATCGCATCTTTCGGCGTAACAATGTTTGAGTTGGGGAAGCGCTCGCTGTGACTCATCCTCACAGTGTCACTCCGGAGAGACCTGATGCGGCTCAGGACTCCTACTACGTATCAGAAGACTGAAAATGTCTGTTGAAAAATGTTTGAAAGCTTTATTTCTGGATACTCTAAAAAAAATCTACTTCCAGGTATTTTTCATGGAAATAATTATCTGGAACACAGGAAGTAATTTCCAGCGGCAGTTAGTGTATAAATAAACATACGAACTGAGAAGTCACTATGGAGAACAGTGGTAGTCTTTATGGCTGAGCAAAGACTGCCATCTACAGCTAACCTCAGAATAAGGACCTCACAGTGCTGTAGCGTCAATACACTATGAACTTCAAAATAAAATCCTCCTGGAGGATACATTTCCCTTCACTCTTCCATTCTCTTGTAACACACTCCATTATTCAATATTTCTGATTGATAAAAGGGAAGATGTATGAGCTGAACTGGGTCTTTTTAACCACATCGCTTCGTGTTTTAACCGACACAAAAGACGTTGGATTTAAACTTTTAAACTTTCCTGAAGTCGAGTTTTGTTGTAGCTGCATTTGCAACATCTATGTGAGTAAAAGTAAGGACAAAAACACGTGCAAAAATCTGCCATGTGAAATATAACGGTGTGTCCACGTAAGTCTCCTTTGGTCTGATAGGAAATATGTTTTATGGGCTTTTACTGACTCAAAACCAAAAACCTGCTCTTCCATTTTGTGACTCAGTGGCGCAGCCTCTAATGGTAGCCTTGTACAAATAGAATGACCAGAGCAGTTGCAAGTTAAAAATACTTTTGGGACAAAAAAAAAAAAAAAAAATGTCCAGCAGCTCCCAAGGATGTAAACCCTCCTGTGGTGCACTTGCTGCAGTGTGCTCATGGGCAAGTCAGTGAATGCACCGGGGCTGTTGTCTCTGTGTGTCGATGCTACTTTGCATTCTACTTTGGGAGCAGAAATTGGTTGAGTTGTTGTTCATGTGCAGCCAAAAAAAAAAAATAATCGAAACCCCCGGGCCAAATCCCTGACCCTCATCCAGAAAGTTACACTTTCCAGAGTCATATTTTGGAGTTTGTTTTGCTTCGATCAAGTTCTTTCTTTTCTTATCTGGCACATTCTCCTGAGGTTGTCGTGTGAACTGATTGTGCTCAGTGGGTGCATGTGATGTGCCATTTAATTGGGTTAAGGAGTTAATCTGGTGTTGCCATCTTTCAATAAGCGCTCTGCTTTTGAAGTCACTGGAGCGTTCTCCTCGCTAATTCCCAGAACTACTTTTATCTCACCCCCCCTCCTCCTCTCTCCGTTCCTTTCTTCCATCTGTATAAGTGTGTAATTCTCTCTCTCTCTCTTTCTCTTTCTCTCTTTCTCTCTTTCTCTCTCTCTTTCTCTCTTTCTCTTTCTCTCTTTCTCTCTTTCTCTCTTTCTCTTTCTCTCTTTCTCTTTCTCTCTCTCTTTCTCTTTCTCTTTCTCTCTTTCTCTCTTTCTCTCTCTCTCTCTCTCTCTCTCCCTCTTTTTTTTTTCAGCAAACTCGGACGCCCTGAAAGCCATGGTTCATGATATCAGCATTGACTCTGATGGGTAAGTGTCCTCTCCAGTTGTTTTTTCTTCTCCTGGCCGTGAAGAGCGATCTCAACCACCAGATGGCACCGTAAGCCTCCTCGGAAAAGCCTGTTTGTGTCACATGGCTGAAGTGGCTGAAGTGAGAGTAGCCAGAGCAGGAAATGAGCACACAAGGCAATCAGGCCACATTTCTCTTCTGATGCTTTTCCAGATTGGCAAAGTTTGATTGAGGGCGAGCAGCTGGGGACTCTTCCCCAAAACGCCGCTGTGTCCCTTCTCACTATATTGTGGGTTTATTAAAGAATATCGACCACATTTGTTGGCATGTTTCCTTCTTGGATTCTTTGCCAGGACACAGCGAGTGTGACTCCGCTTAAAAATAAAAAAGAAAGAAAGAGAGAGTATCGGGCAAAGAAGCTTTTGGTGTCTTGGTACTAGAGGCTTTACATATACGGCTGACATTAGTGCTGAAACAATTGATGGATTTATCATGCAAAAATCTCAAATGTGTGCCGGTTCCAGCTTCTCAAATGTAACAATTTGAGGCTTTTTTGTCTGTTTTTATATCGCTGTAAAAACAGGCCTGTCAGGCTGTTCAATTCTTCACATGTTGAAGTGACGTGCACGGGGCTTCAACCAAAAATACAAGAGCAAAAGTGTTTGAACAACATGGAACTGTGCGTTTGTCGTCTCTAATGTAAGTTTCAATCCTTATCATGTCCGGCTAACTAGCTCACTACCTACATTAGGTCTTACACTTTTTCCCTATTTTGATAGACAAGGACTGACTCGTTTTACACTGCGAAAGAACAATGCTGTTTCTTTATTTCCGTGGCTTATAGACGGATCATCGACTGGTGAAGACGCTGCTGACTTTAAACCTGAGGCCTGTTAGCCTCAGGCTCAAAGCACGGTTTCCTGTGTGACAAGTGCAGAATTAAAACCCTTTTGTGGAGTTTCTGATTCCCAAAAAAAAAAAAAAAAAATGCTTGTTGCAGACGTCATTTCAGACATTTTCTGTTTATGTCTACTTCTTTGTGAAATCGAGGAGAAAGCTTGACCGGCGTAGCAACCACGACTAAGCTAAGGGGTCAATAAAACCACCCTGCATCGCGAGAACAGGAGCTGATGGTACGAGCCGAGATTAGACGTCTTCGCTTTGCCGCCGAGATAAGGGGAGAGGGAGTTGGGCTGATAGACAGATTGGAGGAGGAGAAGCCCGTGACGGAAGAGGAGTGTGGTTAAATCAAGTTAGTGGGGTATGTTTTCCCTCTCTCTCTCCCTCCCTCTCTCTCCCTGTCATCTTTCTCATCCCGCTACAGGAAAAGAGAGAGATAACGAGAGGAGAGATGTTCTCCTTTGTTTGGAGGAAACTGTGTGGATAAATGGTTGGAGCGTTGCCTCTGCTGAGGATTAGGTTTTGAAGTATTGTGCTCTGAAAAAAAATCAGTGGCAATCTGCAATCGCACACATTTCCCCCCCCCCCGTGTCACTTTCATGTGTTTCGCCTCTTCATTTATCCTCCAAATCTCTTTCCCCACATATTTCCTCTGTCTCCCTTCAATTTTTTTGCTAAAAAAAATCTCCCCCTGTAGTACTCCCTTTTTCTCTCTTGGCGTTACTCTTCGTATCGGTCTCTCCTTCTCCCAGCCAGGTTGGGCAGCCTGCCAGTGGATCACTTAGAGATGGTGGAATAGGGGGGGGGGAGAGGGGTATCGGCAGAGGGTAATTTATGGGACACTTGAGGGGAGGAGGGAGACAGACAGACAGATGGGCAGAAAGAGGGGAAGGCGGGAGGGATGGAGAAAGGCTACAAGACGGAGAGTGACTGTAGTAGCGGCCTGACCCCGCTATCTGCCTCTCCAGATTTGGTACTTAACTTTAGCGTTGCTCCGTCCCCGTCAGTCCTCCAGCCTCCACCTCTTCACCACCTTTCCACAAGACGCTCTCCATTCACATCAGTCCATCTGGTCCATCTGTCCATTCCCTCCTGTGGATCAAACTCATGGTTCGTACCTCTGCTCATCAGAATCCTCACGCTGCACATGAGCGCGGTACATATTTTTAGCGCATTTTTCACGTGCACAGTTTTTTGTTTTTTTTTACCAAGAACACACATTTTCTCCCCCTTGTTCTTTTAGAATAAATTAATTAAATTAAAAAGGAATGCCGAATATTATTCAGTAATTCACAAGAGGAAAATAACACATTTAATAAAACATTTTTTCTTTTTTTTTCTGCTTTCTCTCCTGCTGCTTATAATCCGATTTAACTTGGAGAACCACTGGTCTATGCTAAATGACCACCCCTTGTGTCCACACACACTGCCGTATGTATTTCTGGTGCGGACAGGGCTGTTCCACTGCGGGAACTTCCCCCTGGGGACCAAGAATCCTTTTTACAGAAACTCAGGGACTTGACCTCGACTTTCAAAAGGAGGAACCAGGAACCAAATGTAGTTAATTATACTTCCAGGTGTCCAAAGACATCCCCGCTCTCCTGGTAGAACTCGCCAATGGATCAGCAGCCTTCAACGCAGACACAGCAGCACCTACATCTTGTGTGAAACCTTCATGAATAAGGAAGTACTTGTGGTCCATATTTATATTAAGATCTGGCGGGTTTCTCCCCCCCCCCCCTTCTACTCTTGTGGCTGAATGAGAGCAAATCCCCCGCATTCAGCCTCACATTAATTTGTGAGGCCCACTTTTATTTGGAATAGAGGTGTTCAGTAACCACATACGGGTGTCAGCCGTCCGCACACTTGTGGCCGTATGCTGCAGCCTCTGTTCCTTGTCCGTTCTCGACAGAGATGGAAGATATGCGACTCTTTATGCTCTCTGTCCCTTGACACACGTGCATAGTTTATTATACGAGCATGTCAATGGGTAGAGACGCTGTTTATTCTGCCTTTGTGCGTAAACAATGCGAGGAGCTGCTCTCCAGGGTCATGAAATATGCACACGCAGTTCCTCTCAGGGGAAAAAAAGAAAGATGCGAGCGATCAAACAGACAAGGAAGCCGCCGTCAATTAGCACGCTGCTAAGATAAATACTGTATGAAAGTGGAGAGGGAGCCGTATGTGTCGGATCAGTTTGCCTTCTTTTAACCATCAATTCTCTTTCCTAATCAGTTGACCAATGCTCCACCTGGGGCCTGCTCGTACAGGAAATTGCCTCCATTCTTGTTATTATTATTCAATACATAATCGTCATTCCCAAAGAGCTTGTCAGTTTGATATGAAGACATGAGATGAGATATTAATGTGGCATGTGTGCAGTGGCAGCCCTGCAGAATTCAATGAGGTTGAATTCATCTGCATGAAATGGAAATGTTTTTGAATGTAGGTCAGTTTGTTCGTCTGTGAAAGGTCTGCCTTTTCTCAGAGCCAGATGTTCGACGAGCTGATCTAAAAACGCACCGCTCTACTTTTTGTTTTATTTAATCTCTAGATGTGTCACAGAAACATTCTGGTGACCTATAAAATATTTCATGGTTCATTTACTCTCTTTATTGCATATTTGTTACTTTGCTTGTGCTCTTCTAGTAATACTTGGCCGTAGTCATCCGCGGCTATCTCGATCCCTGTAATGTATGATTTATTAATAATAATTGTGACACTAACTTCTGGTTCTTCTTCCCTCTTTAGTCCTCCGCTCACCCCCACCTCTCCCGGCACCCCTCCGCTGACTCCCATATCACCCGGCGCGCCCCCGGGAGCTGCTAAACACACCTGCAGCCACCTGCACACCATCGGCGGCCTGGGCGGGCATAAGAACATCTGCAACCGCTGCAGTCACAAGAAGTGGCCGCTTATGAGGAGGCTGTCTCCCCGCAAGGTGGAGCAACGCCGCAGCCAACACGGAGAGGTCACGGTCCTGGCTGTGGGCAGGTGTGTGTGTGTGTGTGTGTGTGTGTGTGTGTGTGTGTGTGTGTGTG